ACATGAGTATCCTTTTTGGCAATTTGGAAATAATAAAAGTTTGCAAGAATCGGTTGTATCTAATAGCAATATACTATTGGAAAGAACATTGCTTGAAACAAATAAGTATGACAAAGATAATATTATAGAATTATCTCCAGAAGAATTTACTAAAGAGATTGAAAAGCACAAATATTTTCTTCAGCATATACAGGAAGAGTATGAGGCAGGTAATTTTTAGCATGTAAAAGCTTTGCTTAAAGGTTCAAAACGAGTACGTGAAATGATAGATGATATTGATTGTGTACAAAAAAGATGAATTAGAAGAAGAACGTATAAAAATTCAAAAGAACATATGATGTTTTTAAGATAGATATAATTGGACAATAGTTTTTGCGTATTGATTTTTTTTTTTTAAGACTTACTTATTTGAGAGTTCATATTACATAGCAACAGGGGTATTAATATTTACAATTGATGTCTAATACGATGTTCTTATTTAAGGTTTAAAGTTCTTATTATAATTTTTTTTTTTTAGTTTAGCAACTTATAATCTTTGATATATAAATCTGTTTGTATTCTTTCAAAAAATATCTTTATTTTAAAGCTCGAGAATTTGAAATAGATGAAAAAAAATTAAGATTATACTATTAAATGGAGAATTGCACAAAATCCTTCTTCTAATCCTGTTCAATGGTCTGATAAACATATTTTAACTTTAAAGAATTCACTCAAATATTATCTTTTTTGATTCACTATTTTCAAATTTCTGGCAAAGATGTCTTTAAGAAAATTCGGTCTTATTAGAAAATCCTTAATACAATGCTGTGAGTGGGTATTATGTTAAGATTTATGATTCAAAATAATTTGATTACTCAATTCATTTTTATTTTACTTTCACGAAATAATATTCCTATTACTAATAGTAATTTATCAAAATTGAATTAATAACGCAAAGTAGTAAAATATACCATATTACAGGTAAATAAGAATCAATTATAAACTTAACTAAATTATTATAGATAGATCCAAATAATGGTATTTACATTAAAAAATCGTAGTAACTCCTATTATAAAATAAAAAGATATAAAGAATCACTTGCCGATTTAAACAAATCTTCAGAAATTGAACCAGATGATGCATTTATATTAAGAAATCATGGAAATACTCATCTTATAATAGACAGATATGAAGAGCCGCCTTAGATTTAAACAAATCATTAGAAATTAAACTGAATAATGCAGACGCATTAACAGATTGCAGAATCACTTATTTTATAATGAAAGGTATGAAGAATCACTTTCGGATTTAAACAAATTATAGAAATTAAACCTGATATACTTATATTTAAAGATCGTAGAGATACTTGTCATATGATGGGCAGATATAAAGAGTTTTGCAGATTTAAACAATCATTAGAATTAAACTAGAAATGCATATACATTAAGAAGTTGCAAAAATACTTAGTATGATGAGCAGATATGAAGAGTTACTTGCAAATTTAAATAAGTTATTAGAAATTGAACCTGGTAATATATCTATATCGAAAGGTTGTGAAGAATTTTTCGTACAATGAAAAGATATAAAGAGTCACTTGCAGATTTAAACAAATCATTAGAAATTGAACCAAATGATGCAGACACATTAAGAAGTTGTGAAAACACTTGTCGCATAATGTGGGATATAAAGACTCACTTGCAGATTTAGACAAATCATTAGAAATTGAACCATATGATGTATTGGAATTAAAAATTCGTGGTGACACTTATCGTTTGATGGGTATCAGCTTCTTTCTATTAGGAATGAGATTTTTGCAATCCAATCAGTTAATATATAAAAAGTTTGCGATCACATAGAGTAACAATTAACCTGATCTTAGAATTTATTAGATACTTTAAGGTAAGTTTATTAACTGTTTTACTTTAAATTATGAACTTTTTTTGACTAATATATATTCTATGTTTATATTTTATATATGCATTTAACTTAGAATGAAGCTATAAACTGATCAAATGTCTGGTATTAAGCATGTAATCTCGGTGGGCAATTTGAGAAAAATGAAAATTAAATATTAATAATTGCAACAAAATTTCATTTAGAACGATTTAAATAATTTATTTTGATAGATCAGATAAAATTCAAAGGATTAGATAGTAGATAAATAATTTTGAATGAATTTATTAGAAATATATCCATTTTACTCTAACCAAACCTTTATTATTCATTGTATATTTGATAAAGTTTTTATTAATTATTTTTGTGAAATCGCATAAAATCTCAACTTTTCAATTTAGAAATTCAATGTTGTATATTTAATTGGTAACATAATAAATTTTGTAAAAGCAATTCAAAATAGTTTTGATATTTGAACTTTGGTAATCATTAAATCGTAAATCGAAAATTTTTGGAAAATGAACCAATCAAATATTGTATAACCAGGAGAATTTTGGGAGTCGCTGTATGAGTTCGTAGGAGTGAGGGGATAGCCTCCTGATAAAAAAATATTACGTAATAAGTGCAACTACCCTTAGTAAACAAATTTTGCAAAAAAGCAAAAATAATATAATATACTTACCCAAAATCAAAGCTTTTTAGCTCTCAAAAAAAAATCAATATCTAATTATCTAATCTGTAATTACCGATCTATATAAATTTAAATATTAACTCAAATTGCCAATCTTTATGAGTTAAATATTTAACTCAAATTAACTCTGATTAGTATAACATCACAAAATATAACTAAGTACTTGCCAAGTACTTACTAAATATTTATTAAATACTTATTATAATTACTTATTAAACTAATTCCAATGCAGCTTATATTTAGTAAATATTTAAACTAAATA